GATTACAACTTTCATCTTCTTGTAAATCTTCCAGCTTTAACTTCTGTATACAATGAATTGGGTAGCAACTGGAGCACAGTAATGAGCCTTGCTTCTTACAGTAAAAATAATGGAATCAGGTTTCTTTATTATGTCTTGCAGCAATAGGTTTGGGTATTTTTTACAATTTTTTCATGTTCAGTTTCTTTAAAAACCTTGATGGTTGCACAAAGTGGGGGGGGGGGGCATATAGCGTTGCACTTGTCCGTCCGTACGTCTGTCTGTCCATACGTCCCGAAATCTTGTGAACGCAACTCCTTTTAAACCGGATGGCAGATTTTGCTTAAACTTCCAGGGATGAACAACCTTAATGTGTAGATGGTAGTAAAGGAAGGAATTATTGCTGCGACCAAATTTAACAGAATTATGGCCCTTTGTTGATTTTTTCACTATATACCATATAGAAATTTTGTGAACGCAACTCCTCTTAAACCGGATGGCAGATTTTGCTTAAACTTCCAGGGATAAACAACCTTAATGTGTAGATGGTAGTAAAGGAAGGAATTTTTGCTGCGACCAAATTTAACAGAATTATGGCCATTTGTCGATTTTTTCACTATATACCACATATATATTGTCAGTGGGGGCATCCGTGTCCTTTGGACACAGTTCTAGTTTTGTCTTTGTTTTCCATAATTCTTCAATCATGTGTATGAAAACCTTTCCAATCTGGTGAGGCATTCGATGGTGAGTTACAGTCACTGTACTGCCACGGATGTGCAAGTCAGACAACGAGAAACGACAAAACTAACAACAAAGTTCCGTGTTTGTTTTAATCTTCTCAACCTCGTAAGCAACTATAATGCCTTCAGTGCTTAACATTATTGCGTCATGTCATGCATACTGAAAATGTATATAAAATAATATAAGTATCTTAGCTTATATTAAAACAAAGAAGGAAAACATTTAGCGGTGTGTAACCTTTACATGCATGTTCTTATTGGGGGACTTCATTTGGCACACGAGTACATACTCCGGAGTTACTAAAACCACCCGGATGTTGTTATTTGCGCATGCTCCGGACTCTAGAGAACTGAACGTTCGGGGTAGCAACTCGAGGGTAATCATCATGGCCGATCGTTTATTTCCAATGCTGTTTAATATACTAGAAAATATTTTTGATAATGATCTGATTTTTAGCTCACCTGTCACAAAGTGACAGGGTGAGCTTTTGTGATCGCTTTTCGTCCGGCGTCCGTCCGTAAACTTTTACTTTAAATGACATCTCCTCATAAACCACTTCGCCAATTTCATCCAAACTTCACAGGAATGTTCCTTTGGTGGTCACCTTTAAAAATTGTACAAAGAATTTAATTCCATGCAGAACTCTGGTTGCCATGGCAACCGAAAGAAAAAACTTTAAATATCTTCTTTTAAAAAACCATAAGAGCTAGAGCTTAGATATTTGGCATGAAACATCTTCTAGTGAGTGTCTACCAAGTTTGTTCAAATAAAAGCCCTGGGGTCAAAATTGGCCCGCCCCGGGGGGTCATTGATTTTCCCTATATGCATATAGTAAAAACTTAAAAAATCTTCTTTTAAAGAACCCAAAGAGCTAGAGCTAAGATATTTAGCATGAAACATGTTCTAATGGATGTCTACCAAGTTTGTTCAAATAAAAGCCCTGGGGTCAAAATTGGCCCCGCCCCGGGGGTCATTGATTTTCCCTATATGCATATAGTTAAAACTTAAAAAATCTTCTTTTAAAGAACCCTGAAAGAGCTAGAGCTAAGATATTTAGCATGAAACATGTTCTAATGGATGTCTACCAAGTTTGTTCAAATAAAAGCCCTGGGGTCAAAATTGGCCCCGCCCCGGGGGGTCATTGATTTTCCCTATATGCATATAGTAAAAACTTTAAAACTCTTCTTTAAAAGAACCAAAAGAGTTAGAGCTAAGATATTTAGCATGAAACATGTTCTAATAAGTGTCTACCAAGTTTGTTCAAATAAAAGCCCCGGGGTCAAAATTTGCCCCGCCCCAAGGGGTCATTGATTTTCCCTATATGCATATAGTAAAAACTTAAAAAATCTTCTTTTAAAGAACTCAAAGAGCTATGGCTAAGATATTTAGCATCAAACATGTTCTAATAGGTGTCTACCAAGTTTGTTAAAAAAAAAGCCCTGGGGTCAAAATTGGCACCGCCTAGGGGGTCATTGATTTTCCTTATATGTGTATAGCAAAAACTTAAAAAATCTTCTTTGAAAAAACCCAAATAGCTAGAGTTAAGATATTAAGCATGAAACATCTTTTAGTGAGTGTCTACAAAGTTTGTTCAAATAAAAGCCCTGGGGTCAAAATTGGCCCCGCCCCGGGGGTCATTGATTTTCTTTATATGTGTATAGCAAAATTTTAAAATCATCTTTGAAAAAAACCAAATAGCTAGAGTTAAGATATTAAGCATGAACCATCTTCTAGTAAGTGTCTACAAAGTTTGTTCAAATAAAAGCCCTGGGGTCAAAACTGGCGCGGCCCCAGGGGTGTCATACAGTTTTTAACTATATGTGTATAGTAAAAACTTAAAAAAATCTTCTTTTAAAAAGCCCAATGAGCTTGAGCTTAGATGTTTAGCATGAAACATTTTCTTATGGGTGTCTACCAAGTTTGTGCAAATAAAAGCCGTTGGGTTAAATTGACCCTGCAACATTGGGGGGTGGGGGTTTGGGGGACTATATACAGGTGAGCGACCTCAGGGCCATCATGGCCAATTAAGATTTCAAGAAAATGTTATCATTTTTATTGTAATTATTTATAATACACTGATTGATAGTTTCCGAACTAGTAGACGACAGGCTTTTCTTATCATTAGAATTGCGAGTTAAGATAACCAAATGCGTATCTCACTATATAAAACATATGTAAAATGGTCTGACTTGTGGTAGGTTTAACCGTAAATTTAAATACCTCCAGTGTCAAACAATTTGTTGAAATATATACTGAGACAAAGCTAAGATTACAAGCTCTTCATTGGTGTAATAAATTTTAAAATCGGACATTAAATCGTCCCAAACTAGCGGTTTAAACACAGCTAAATTTGCATTCTTTTGCATTAGAGATATTGATTTTACTCGAAGCTAAGGGAAACAACTCTTGTTTTTTTCCACTTGATATACCTGGGTTATTTACGTAGTTCATATAGAGACTGTCAATTGGTGTATTATCTCATAATTAATATCCCATAATTATATTAATGCCCCCACTTCAAAGAAGAGGGGGTATATTGCTTTCCATTTGTCCGTCCATCAGTCCGTAGACCAAATGGTTTCCGAGTGATAACTAAAGAACCTTTAGGCCTAGGAACTTCAAACTTGGGATGGTGATTGGTCATGACCAGTTAGTGACCCCTATTGATTTTGGGGTCAAAGGTCAAGGTCACATTGACCTTGTAGGTAAAAACGGTTTCCAATCAATAACTAAAGAACGCTTAGGCTTAGGAACTTCAAACTTGGTATGGTGATTCGTCATGACCAGTAGATGACCCCTATTAATATGGGGTCAAAGGTCAAAATCACATTGACCTTGTAGGAAAAACGCTTTCCGATCAATAACTAAAGAACGCTTAGGCCTAGGAACTTCAAGCATGGTATGGTCATTGGTTATGACCAGTAGATGACCCCTATTGATTTTGGGGTCAAAGGTCAAGGTCACATTGACCTTGTAGGTAAAAACGGTTTCCGATCAATATTTTAAGAACACTTAAGCCTAGGAACTTCAAACTTGGTATGGTGATTGGTCATGACCAGTAGATGACCCCTATTGATTTTGGGGTCAAGGGGTCAAAGGTGAAGTCACATTGACCTTGTAGGTAAAAACGGTTTCCGATCAATAATTAAAGAACGCTTAGGCCTAGGAACTTCAAACTTGGTATGGTGATTGGTCATGGCCAGTAGATGACCCCTATTGATTTTGGGGTCAAGAGTCAAAGGTCAAGGTCACATTGACCTTGTAGATAAAAAACAGTTTCCGATCAATAACTAAAGAACGCTTAGGCCTAGGAACTTCAAACTTGGTATGGTGATTGGTCATGACCAGTAGATGACCCCTATTGATTATGAGGTCAAAGGTCAAGGTCACATTGACCTTGTACGTTAAAACTGTTTCCGATCAATAACTAAAGAACGCTTAGGCCTAGGAACTTTAAACTTGGCATGGTGATTATTCATGACCAGTTAATGACCCCTATTGATTTTGGGGTCAGGGTCACATTGACATTGTAGGTAAAAACGGTTTCCGATCAATAACTTAAGAATGCTTAGGCCTAGGAACTTCAAACTTGGTATGGTGATTGGTCATGACCAGTAGATGACCCCTATTGATTTTGGGGGCAGGGGGTCAGTGTCAAATTGGTCTTGTACTTTAAGATGGTTTCTGACCAATAACTCAACAACTCAAGTTGCCTTGGTTGATATTTTTATATTAAACTAAAAATGCTTTTGGTATACACATTTGAGGCCTTATGTAATATAACAAATTGGCTGTCATTAATGAGGCCTTCATGATTTATGCATATTTTATTTGGTAAGATTTGTAATAACTTAAATTGCTGCACACAACCTATGGGGTCACAATAATTATTACCTTGTGACTAGTCATCAACAAGTAGATAACCCTTATTAATTTTTTGTTCACTGGGTCAGAAGTCCTGCATAATAACCTGATCACATGACCAATTGGCTGCCCATAGGGGGCATACATGTTTTACAAATATATCGTATTTAGTTAAATAAGCATTAGGAAAAGGTAAAGAATATTGGTTAATGAATATTATATTGGTGATAATAAAGTTATATATTGTGTTCATCATTTGTTTCAATATATAATATTCTTTACGTTAAAAAAAGTTTTTTTCTATCGGATATTTAAAAGTTTTATTGATGAAAATGTGTAAATTGGTGGAGACAGAGAGAGTTAATCATAAGTATAACAAAGAGCAAACAGTGCTTTATATTACATTTATTGTTACCAAATTATAATACAAACAAGTGGAAAGGCAAAATCAGGATAAACTAGTACATGTATAAATCAACAACATACTTTATTTACACAAAAATAAAAATTAGTAACCTCAACATGACATAATCATCATCAACAACAACAACAATATATGTACAATACTTCTACTATGACATTAAACATTTGATGACTAACTGTACAGACATATATGATTAAAACAAGACAAAACAAATAAACAAAATTCTAGTATTTTAGATCCACCAAGATTTAAACAAGACAAAAAAAATAAATATACATTGTATATTTTTTTACATAACAAAACATATTTTTTTACATAACAAAACAACGTCGATGCCGTCATCGACAGCACCACCAACTACATCCTCGTCATTTCATAAAATCACGCTAAGTTGGCGGTCTGTACAATGCAGAACAAGCTTTCAAAAAAGCTGTTGTTGAAAGTTCTGAGTCTTGATACCTTTCCCAAAGGTCTTGAAGGGTTCGCTCCATTGTAGTTATACGTGTAGATCTGGCTCTGTTAAGCTCTCCTGTTCGTAGTGTCTGACCAACGGTCTCCGCTTCCCTACGCAGTAGTGGAACTAGCCTGTAGAAGGACATGGAACATCCTTCCTGTTGATACGTTGATGCCAGCCTGGAAGGAAGAAAAATGTGTAATTACATCTTAAATTAGCAATAATTGATAAATATGCATGTACATTATTGTTTTAAGTTATACGAATCGTAATTCGTATTCAACAGAGTAATAATGCATTATAATGGTAAATGATTTCTTTATGAACTAAACAATGACTTTTTTGTCCATGGATATGAGAAGTTGTGGTGTATACCAGTATTTTCGATACTTAAGCACACTTCATTAAGTCTTCATTAAATCAAATAACTTATACCAAAAAATTGTCATTACCTTCTACATCATTATTCGTTCGTACCGGCTGGGGGAAGACACACCACAAACTCTCTTGGAAAGAGGGATTCCCAATCCATTGACGTTCCAGGTAGCTACAGAACGCTACAATCTGTGGGTTTGTGGATCGTCCCTGCAGATCCCTGAATGTCGGCACTATATGGTTCACTAGAAGGAAGAGAAGTGCCATCAACTGACACAAAAACTTGTGATTCTGAAAAAGTAAATATTCAATAACCAAAACATACCATAAAAATATTTCATTTCTTTATCATTAGTTAGCAGGAACAAACATGTTCCTTGCGATTAGGTAACACAAACAATGATAATAATGATTCTAATAATTTATCTGGCCTGGATGTTAAGTTCATTTTACACTTATTTTATTTAAATATATGAAAATTAATAAATATCTAGTTTAAAAAGAAGCCACGTATGACTTATTAGTGACTTACGTTCTTCCTTGCATTGTAAGTGGTGGATAACCCATTGGCTTGAAGCTGTCGCCAAACCTCCTGACACCAGTGGAAGACATAGCCCTTTATATGTACATCCTGATCAAACATTTTTTTAACTGCATTCCATGCCGCTAAATTATAAAATTAACATTATGCAATACAAATAAAAAAAATATGTTTAATCAAGAATTATATGAATGCAGTTTACAACTTTGTAAATTATGAAGTATGAAAAAATGAACTTGATATTGTAAATAATGACGAGTACAACTTATATATACATACCGAGCTCAAAGTCGAGCATGAACCCCTCAACTGACACACTTTGCAGTTTGTCTCGGATAGCCTTCAACGCCTGAATAGAAATAATGAGTTAAATTTAGGATATTCTGTGTATTCTACCGTTATACTCCCATATCACAACTTGTTTTATATATTTATAAATACTGCACGTACAGCATAAACTAAACTATTGTAAAGATCTCTCGATTTTTAAGATCTGTAGGTTATTTTAGATACTTGTATTATAACACATATCGACTTTAGCATTTTAGATCTATAAGAAACATTGTACATACGGAAACATAATCAGCTGTGCCCCTGCGAAATGTGACCATGGTTAATCCATGGCTTTTTGACCATTGTTATGACATGGTTTAACAAAATAAATGGACCACAGTCTACAACCATGGTTTTGACAGACAAAGGTCAACCAAAGTAGAACCATGGTCTATAAACCATTGTCATTTTAGGTTGAACCGTGGTCAGAAAACAATGGTTAACCAAGGTTGAATCATGGTCAGAAAACCATGGTTGCTATTTAAACCATGATTTACAGACCATCGATCTAATCTTGTTGAAAGTTTTTTTTTAATTATAGCTCTGGCGGCTATATTGTGCAGTAAAGGTGAACAGCTCGACCTATTTTGAGAGAGGAACATTACTGTGTTTTTTAATCCATTCAGGTGTTTAGGAGAAGTTGTTTTAAGTTGATGATGCACGGATGACTAACATATGTTAGTTGGTGATGCAAGAATGACTGACAAAGAGTGATCACAAAAGCTCACCTTCAGCACTTTGTGCTCAGGCGAGTTAAAAAAATCAATAAGTTTGCACTTTTTTTTTAAAATTTTGCATTGCAAACAAGGTTTAAAATGTAAGATTCATCATCCACAATTATCAGAGAATGATAGGCTGATGCTTCAGTTACTTAATTGATTTTTTGAGAAGGTTCTGAACATTTTGAACTTTCAGTGTAATTTCAGCATCTTTTACATGAAACTTTTCCTTAATAAGCTTGGAGAAACAATCATAAAGTCTACAATCAAACTTGGGTTTTCGTTCTGTCATTGTGTTTGCTGGACGACCTGTTACACTATGTGATATAATGTATTCATTTTGGAACAAAGCCAGCAACAGCTTTTTGCATGAATTAAAAAGGTCATCCACATGCTCTATCATAGTGCTCAGTTCAATCTCTGTATGTTCATTATAATGCTGCAAATCATTGGCTGGTGAGGTTACAGGTGAGATTTTGTCTGGCTTTATCGGTACTTCAGATGGTGAATAATGCCTGTTCTCAGGTGGTGATGTTGGTTCCCTACAGTATTTTGCATCTTTTTCAACTCCCAAATCCTCTTTTTCAAGCGCGATAACTGGTCATATGTCGTCAAACTCCTTTCTCGACACCTCCGAACTACACAGCCAGAAAAAAACAATGAGCATTTAGATAAATAACCTAAAATGAAAATATATCAAAACAAGACCTGTACGACTCCAACGCTTGTCAGTTTGAAGGTCAAGGTCAAAGGTCGTTGCATGTCTGGAAAGCTATTGTCCCAAGTAACAAAATGTGTTTATATGAAAAGAATCCATCAAGAAATTTAGTTATAAGCTACATTTATTAATTTCTGCATGCCGCTGCCGACGATGACGCTTAACCCCGAAGGCTCTGTAATCTCAATAGCTCGACTTCTTCAAAACAAATGAGCTAAAAATAGTTTACAATGACCATTTGCATGCTAGATATAATATTTTATCTATCAGACTGCATCATTAATTATATTCATGTGGGATAGTGACAAATTGTACAAATTGAAACAATGCTATGTTTTCAAGTTGAAACGTGCGAAGATATTTGAACAGTAAAATATTGAGTTCATAATCAACTATCAAAACCTGTAGGTCAATGTTATTTACCTTATAACTTTTCCTGAAGTCTGCAATCCTGAGAAAGGTTTTACCAGCAGAGGGCAAGTCACTTGTCCCACTTGTTTACGATAGGCATCTAAAAAATTCAAGATAGTTATGTGTTTAATTTTTAAGAACAATAAATTATTTAGAATTGATAAATGTCCCTAAAACAATTGTTTTTGCCAATTATTATTAATAATGCCAATAAGCTTTTTTCATTAAATTTTCCTTTTTTTTTTCTTTCATAAACAATCTTAACAACTCTATTTATCAGTATATTTCGGTTCAGGGGTGCCTGCAGCATCTTATATATACAATCAAGATAGCCACTTTATATTGTATTGTTTGTTACGCTGTTTTCATCACTATTTAGGTTATATCACGGCGGTCAGTTACCAGGCGGTACAAAGTGCCAATATTTATCACTGGTAACTGAAAACTGCCATACTTGAGTCAGCGATAGGAAAAGAATGGCCGTAGAAAGGATTTCATGATCAAACTTCATGAGAGTTATTTGCTAGGTGTGGACTTAAACCTGTGTCTTCTGGATTTGTAGGCGAGCGTCTACCACCGGGCCTGTCCACTTTACATTCTAACACCTACAAACCAACAAAGTGTTTTTTTAACTTCTTCAAAAAAAGTCAAACCCTACCACTTGACTTGGAACCTAGCGTTGGCACCTGGTCATTGGAACCTAGTGTTGGCACCTTGTCATTTGAACTTGGCCTTGGCACCTGATCATTGGAACCTAGGGTTGGCACCAGGTCACTGGAACCTAACATTGGCCCCTAATGTCAGCTGGAGTAGAATCAGCTACTGAAATTAACAAACTCTTATCATTTTAAGATTACAAAATGTTTCATGTTTATCTATGAATTATCTTTTTTTTATTTAGGTTATTATATTTTAACTTTTTTTTTATTTGGGAATAACATATTGTAAGTCATTCTTTAAATGTTAACTTCTTGATGTTTGTTTTCATTCATACAATTATACAATTATATTTTAACATTTAACCAATTTGAAAGCTGCCGACTTCTTTCCTTTTTGAAAAATCCATTACTATGAAATATTTGCATTATAAAAACCGATCATTTTCTTTGAATATCATTGCTGCATTAAATATTTCAATATTTAATATGATGAGCCGCCTTTTCTTTATAGACAAAGAAGAAAATGTAACGTGCATTATTTTCCAAAAGATTCACAGTAGTGCAAAATGACGATATCTTGTTTAATTTGCGATGTCATTACCAAGCACAGCCAAATAGTTCTATAATTTTCCCCTCATTATTCCATTTAAAATCATGATACAAGTTGAAATAAAATTTGATATTTTGTGATTTATTATGCCCCCATTTCGAAGAAAAGGGGGTATATTGCTTTGCACTTGTCGGTCCGTCGGTCCGTCGGTCTGTCGGTCCGTCGGTCCGTCGGTCCGTAGACCAAATGGTTTCCGAGTGATAACTAAAGAACCCTTAGGCCTAGGAACTTCAAACTTGGTATGGTGATTGGTCATGACCAGTAGATGACCCTATTGATTTTGGGGTCAAGGGGTCAAAGGTCAAGGTCACATTGACCTTGAAAGCAAAAACGGTTTCCGATCAATAACTAAAGAACCTTAAGGCCTAGGAACTTCAAACTTGGTATGGTGATTGGTCATGACCAGTAGATGACCCCTATTGATTTTGGGGTCAAGGGATCAAAGGTCAAGGTCACATTGACCTTGAAAGCAAAAACGGTTTCCGATCAATAACTAAAGAACCTTAAGGCCTAGGAACTTCAAACTTGGTATGGTGATTGGTCATGATCAGTAGATGACCCCTACTGATTTTGGGGTCAAGGGGTCAAAGGTCAAGGTCACATTGACCTTGAAAGCAAAAACGGCTTCCGATCAATAACTAAAGAACCTTAAGGCCTAGGAACTTCAAACTTGGTATGGTGATTGGTCATGATCAGTAGATGACCCCTATTGATTTTGGGGTCAAGGGGTCAAAGGTCAGGTCACATTGACCTTGTAGGTAAAAACGGTTTCCAATCAATAACTAAAGAACCTTAAGGCCTAGGAACTTCCAACTTGGTATGGTGATTGGTTATGACCAATCAGATGACCCCTATTGATTTTGGGGTTAAGGGGTCAAAGGTCAAGGTCACATTGACCTTGTAGGTAAAAACGGTTTCCGATCAATAATGAAAGAACCCTTAGGCCTAGGGACTTCAAACTTGAGATGGTGATTGGTCATGATCAGTAGATGACCCTATTGATTTTGGGGTCAAGGGGTCAAAGGTCAAGGTCACATTGACCTCTTAGGTAAAAACGGTTTCCGATCAATAACTAAAGAACCTTAGGCCTAGGAACTTCAAACTTGGTATGGTGATTGGTCATGACCAGCAGATGACCCCTATTGATTTGGGGTTAAGGGGTTAAAGGGCAAGGTCACATTGACCTTGTAGGTAAAAATGCTTTCCGATCAATAACTTCAGAACCCTTATGCCTAGGAACTTCAAACTTGGTATGGTGATTGGTCATGACCAGCAGATGACCTATTGATTTGGGGTCAAGGGGTCAAAGGTCAAGGTCACATTGACCTTGTAGGTAAAAACGGTTTCCGATCAATTAACTAAAAACGCTTAGCCTAGGGACTTCAACCTTTGTGTGATGATTGGTCATGACCAGCAGATGACCCCTAATGAGTTTTAGGTGAAGGGGTCAAAGGTCAAGGTCACATTGACCTTTTAAGTAAAAACGGTTTCTGATCAATAACTCAAGAACACTTAGGCCTAGGAACTTCAAACTTGGTATGGTGATTTGTCATGACCAGCAGATTACTCCTATTGATTTTGGGATTAAGGGGTCAAAGGTCAAGGTCACAATGACCTTGTAAGTAAAAACGGTTTCTGATCAATAACTAAAGAACGCTTCGGCCTAGGAACTTCAAACTTGGCATGGTGATTGGTCATGACCAGCAGATGACCCCTATTGATTTTGGGGTCAAAGGTCAAGGTCACATTGACCTTGTATGTTAAAACGGTTTCCGATCAATAATAAGAGAACCCTTAGGCCTAGGAACTTCAACCTAGGCATGGTGATTGGTCATGACCAGCAGATGACCCCTATTGATTTTGGGGTCAAGGGGTCAAAGGTCAAGGTCACATTGACCTTGTAGGTAAAAACGGTTTTCTGATCAATTTACTTAAAAACGCCTAGGCCTAGGAACTTCAAACTTTGTATGATGATTGGTCGTGACCAGCAGATGACCCTTATTGAGTTTTGGGTCAAGAGGTCAAAGGTCAAGGTCATGACCAGTAGATACTTTATAACCCTTATTAATTGTTTGATCACTGGGTCAGAAGTCATGCATAATAACCTTATCACATGACTAATTGGCTGCTGATAGGGGGCATACATGTTTTACAAACATATCTTGTTGTATAATAATGCACAGTTGCTCGGTCGGTGCTTATAACAACTCACTCAGGCCTAACAGCCTTTGTGAATTATTCCTACGCACTGAACTCGCAAGCATGCATTATGTTACATAAGATCACTCAAGAGCAAATATTTTGTCACCAAATAAAGAGCATTTGTTACTAAGTAGAATAAAATACATAAGAATTATTAAAGTGACATTATGCTCATTATTTCATAGTCAAGTTGAGCTGAATTGATTTTATAACTGACAAAATGGTGTTTGACCAACTGTTGATATTGGAAAATGTTTTGAATAAAATTATAAATCTTCCTAAAATCTAAAAAGACTGCCCCACTCTTTTTGTGTCGCCTCTACGGAGTAGTGGCGACATATAGGGATCACTTCTCCTTCGTCCGTCTGTCTGTCCGTCTGTCCGTCCGTCCGTCACAAAACTTGTCCGGACTACCCTTCATAAACTACTGGTGCAATTTCATCCAAACTTTACAGGAATGATCAGTATCAAGTCTAGTTGTGCATATTGTCAGCATTTTCCGCTTCAATGATTTTTGTCAGAGTTATGGCCCTTTAATAATTTTTAATTTTAAAGTTTGTCCGGACTACTTCTCTTATACCACTAATGCAATTTCAATGAAACTTTACAGGATTGATCTGTAGCTCAAGTCCTTGCGCATATTGCAAGGGTTTTCCGGTTGAATGATTTTTGGCCGAGTTATGGCCCTTTGATAAAAAGGTGTTTTTTTCTGTGTGTTGCCAGATACACAATAGCTTGTCCGGACTACTCCTCATAAACTGCTGGTGCAATTTCATCCAAACTTTACAGGAATGATCAGTACCAAGTCTAGTTGTGCATATTGTCAGCATTTTCCGGTTCAATGATTTTTGTCAGAGTTATGGCCCTTTAATAATTTCTATTTTTAAAGTTTGTCCGGACTAGTTCTCTTATACCACTTATGCAATTTCAATGAAACTTTACAGGATTGATCTGTAGCTCAAGTCCTTGTGCATATTGCACGGGTTTTCCGGTTGAATGATTTTTGGCTGAGTTATGGCCCTTTGATAAAAAGGTGTTTTTTTCTGTTTGTTGCCAGATACGCAAAAGCTTGTCCGGACTACTCCTCATAAGCTACTGGTGCAATTTTATCCAAACTTTACATGATTGATCAGTACCAAGTCTAGTTGTGCACTGTCTGTCTGTCTGTCCGTCTGTCACAAAATTTGTCCCAACATGAAATTGGCCATTATGAGGCGACACATGTGATTACTGATCGCTCTTGTTATAAACTAAGGTTTGGTTACATGTAAATTCTAAAAGATATAATACAGAAATTTCATTGGGATCTCTGCGTTATTTATTGTTTATTGGAACTTAATTATTAAATAAAAAGGAATTATGGCAAAATGAAAACTTATTTTTATATTCACCCGTTCACTCATTATATACCCTTGGATGGGCATAATGTCACTTTTACAAAATCTCTTGCCTTTAGCCTTTGACTGTACAGGTTTGGCCAGTGTGGACATCTTGTTCTCTCAGCTTTGCATACAGCATCAGATTCTAAAATTCAGAAATAAATGGCAATTAAATCTTTTGTGTAAGGATTTTAACATAACATAGATGCATAGACTAGTGCACTGAAAATTGAAATACAACATGTGTTATTGTATTGAACAACTGACATATTGTATCCAGTAAGGTTTTATCTCAATATTGCACAATCCATTATTTATGTATTTACTTTTTCACTTGTTGATAACTGCTTTAATGTTAGAATGCCTCCAATATACGTTCAGGGTCAGATTGAATTTCATTACGGAAACGTATTGCTAAATGGATCATTTTTACATGTGATTTCTTTAGTATTGTTGCTTGTCACTGTGTAAACTGAGTCCGTTAATAATAGTGTATCAAGGAGCATTCTAGAAATTTCGCAGGTACAACACGATGGACACTTCTTAAGTTGACTAAATTACCTTTTAAATGTTGGCTCTGGTACTTGACATCATCAAAAGGGTACTTTAGTGGCAACTTGGCATTGCTAGCGAGGAGTTTCTTGTCAGCTGCAAAAAGGTCAAACATTATGTTTAATTATTTAACTGCTTTATTGAACTATAAAGGACAAGTTGACCCCCCCCCCCTCCAGTGACCTCAAAGATTTGAAAAACTTGCAAAAATCCTTTCAATCGATTTCATTTAGATTGCGAGAACCGTGACGTCTCCTCTGCCTCATTATATCCATATTTCTCAAAATAAAATAAAAATTATGAATGCCAATTAAAATAAATAATCATTATGCCATCATGCAAAAGTAGCGATGACAAGCCATTTTTATGCCCCCGGATCGAAGATCGTGGGGCATATTGTTTTTCTGTCTGTTGTCTGTGTGTCGAAACTTTAACATTGGCCATTTCTCGAAAAGTATATGAGATATCAACTTGAAACTTCGTATGTGGATACGTCTCAATGAGTAAAAGAGCAATGCACAAGAATTATAACTCCTCCTTCCATAATTTTTGAGTACATGTACTTGCCCTTTGATTTTGTTATACTTTTATTTTTTCTTGGGCCATATCTCGAAAACTATATGAGATATCAACTTCAAACTTCATGCCTACATACATAAGTTTTTGATATTTTATGTGTGTGTGTGTTTGTTTGTTTGTGTGTGTGTGTGTGTGTGTTATAGATTATATAGTGAACTTAAAAAATCTTCTTGTGAAAAACCACTGGTCCAATTTCAACCAAACTTGGCAGGATTGATCCTTGGGTAAAGGGCTTCCAAAGTTGTTCAAAGAATTTCATTCCATGGAGAAATCTGGTTGCCATGGCAACCAAAAGGAATTATAAGAATAAATTTAAAAAATCTTCTTGTAAAGATCCAAAAGGCCTGGATCTTAGATATTTTGCATAAGGCATTGTCTGGTAGACCTCTACCAAGATTGTTCAAATTATAGCCCTGGGGCCAAAATCGGCCCCGCCCCGGGGGTCATTGGTTTTTCTGATATGTATATAGTAAAAACTTTAAAAAAAATTCTTCTAGCAATTGACAAATGCTAGAGGTTAGATATTTTGCATGAAACATTGTGAAGTGAACTTCTAGCAAGATTGTACAAATTATAGCCCTGGGGTGAAAATTGCCCCCGCCCGGGGGTCATTGATTTTCAGTATTTACATATAGTAAAAAAATCAAAAAAATCTTATTGTCTGAAGGTACAAGGCTTAGAGCTTTAATATTTGTTAAATGATATCATCTATAGGTACTCTACCAAAGTTGTTCAAATTTTGCCTCTAGTGTCAAAATTAGCCCCGCCCCGGGGCCATATGTATATAGTAAAAACTTAAAAAATCATCTTCTCTAGATTTATAAAGGCTAGAGTTAAGATATTTTTCATGAAACATTATGTAGTGAACCTCCAGCAAGATTATAGCCTTGGGGTCAATATTGGCCTGACCCCACCCCCAGGGGTATACTATGTACATATACTAAAAAATAAAAAATCTTCTTGTCTGAAGATACAAGGCTTAGAGCTTTAATATTTGATATATAATATCATCTATATGTCCTCTACTAAAGTTGTTTTAATTATGCCCCTAGTGTTAAAATTGCCCTGCCCCAGAGGCGATAGTTTTCTTTATATGTATGAAGTAAAAACTTGAAAAATCTGCTCTGAATTGAAAAATCTTCCTCTCTGAATTGACAAAGGCTAGAGGTTAAATATATGGCATGAGAGTTTGCAAAGTGAACCTTTACCAAGATTGTTCAAATTATAGTCCTGGGGTCAAAATTGGTCCCCCGGGGGTCATTGATTTTCATTACAGTCGACTCTCGTTATCTCGAAGTCATTGGGACCGTCCAAAAAATATCGAGATAATGAAATGTCGAGATAAACATATTAGGGTTAGAACAAAGCGAAACTGATTTTTACAAAAGACATGTGCATACCTTATGTCAAATAAACTATAATATCCCTATATCTTGTTTTCATAGGCCTAGTCAATATTTGACAAAGTAACATTGGCGGATGTTAACCAGCGGAAACACGGTGTCTGTGATAAAAACACATAGTGAGATTTACTCAGTAATACACCAATATAGTGAATCTGATATCGGATATGGTTGATTCGGATATCCTCCCGGGTTATTTATCGGGTCTTTCTCGAGATTGTTCTACCGCTGATTAATTTGGTGGTGATGTTGTGAAACAATATTGCAACGATAGTGTTTCTATACTTTCACTATTTCATTTACATTTAAAGTCAAAATGAATTGATACAGTGTTCGAATATTTAAAAAGAATGTAAAATTCACTCATTTTGGACATAAGTCAATCAACACGCTAAATAGATTAACTTTTATAAAAACAGCTAAACTTGTTACAAACATAATTGTCATTATGACACGCGCTGTAATTGAGCAATTATCGTCTAGATTGTGTTTTTCACACGTCTGAAGGGAACAGACGAAAGAAAATTATTAGTCGAGATAAACAAAGGATAATAGTGTGAAAATAACTGTTGGGGCTGAAATTTTTCATCGAGATACTGAAAATATCGAAATAGAAATATCGAGATAAACAAATATTTCCAATATAGATAAAGAAGGAAAAAATCGGGACTTTTAAAATTTCATCGAGATAACGAAATATCGAGAAAAGCGATGTCGAGATAACGATAGTTGACTGTATGTACATATGTAGTAAAAAAAAAATAAAAAATATTTTTGTCTGAAGGTACAAGGCATAGAGCTTTGATGTTTGCTATATAATATCATCTATAGGTCCTCTACCAATGTTGTTCAAAATTTTCCCCTGGTATTAAAATTGGCCCTGCCCGGGGGCAGTGATTCTCATTTTGTACACATAGTAAAAACAGAAAATAAAACAAATGTTTTTTGAATGGGAGAAAGCTACAGCTTAGATATTTGACTTGAAATGTTGTTTGGTGGACTGTATAAAGATTGTTTTGAATTAAATCCTTGGGTCCAAAATTTTGCCTTGCCCAAGGGGACAGTGACCTACTTTCTTGTCCTTTGATGTACAGCAATGAAATTTTGACCATGTGCACAGGTTTAGTTGTTAAATTGAACTTTGATATCAGGTGACCTAGATTTTGATGATGTGACCTACTTTCTTGTCCTTTGATGCACAGCTATGAAATTTGAACCATGTGCACATATTAAGATGTAAAGTGAACTTTGATTTCAGCTGACCTAGATTTTGAGAAAGTGTCTTACTGTGTTGTCCTTTGAAGTAGTCATGAAATTTAGGCTGTGTGAAATATGACCTTCACCACCAAATTCACTAGACTTGAGTGCATTGATATATTCCTACTCTGATCTTTTATTGAGTTAACAACAGATTTAACCACTAATCTGATAATAAGAATTAGATAGGTCAGGGATCTATGCATTATGACAATCTTCAAAATTGTATAAAAACAAAAAAAATCTGTTCCTACACTACTATTTAGTGTTGTATTAATGCGGTGGCATAGCATTTTTCTCAAATGCAATCTTGTTTAAATTTTCAGTTGACAGGTCACATACTAAATAATGAAAACTTATAGTTTTTGTTTAGATTTTCAGAAGAAATGTCATACAATACTAAATCAACCTGTAAATATTCATTTATTGCATGAGAAAAATTATTTTAAAGCAAGCAATTGGTGACAGTTAATCTTAAAAATTGACGAATTTAAGGAAAGATTTTGGTACGAAACAGTTTGAGTACAAATCAATTCTTAACTTAAAGAAAATTATCTCTTGTATTACATCAAAATACTGGCAAATTCTTTAAAATAGACATTTTATGATATTAAAGCTTTTTTTTTTTATTAATTAGTAGCCAAAATAATAAATATTATGAATAAATGACTTGAAAATAAAGTGGATACGATGAGCCTGAAACGAGGTCAAGTAAAAAATAATAAAATTTCAAGCAGCCATATACCGACTATTGTTGCTTGTAAAGGAGGCATGTTCTTTCAGATAATACTCTAAGGAAGAAAAACTTGCCAAAATGTCTTGCGTTATCAAAATTCTATTTTATTTTTGGAATTTCTATTTTTAAAAAAAGATTATTTCTTGTTATTTTCATTTTGTGCCATTTTTTTTTTTTTTTTTTTTTTGGGGGGGGGGGGGGGTCCCTACCTTGTATGTTTTCATCATCTATCCGACTAAAAATAACCATTCAGTACCCTGCAAATGATGAACATTGTAATTTTTGGAGTGTAATAAAAAGGACCTAAGATGAGGTTACATTTTGACCAGTATGAATATTCATGATTGAGGTATAACAGGAGAGGTTACTCCAATTTGGCATCGCTAGCAAAAAGCAAATTACAGTTCCTGCACAGTGCACTTCTGCAGAGACCTCAGTCTACATATAAGGTTTCGTGTCATTAGTTCATGAGGTTTTTAGTATTAATGCTCTATACAAAGAATAATTGTGCAAAATGAAAATGGAAAAACTCCAAACTCTTACTGCTGATAACGCAGATAACAACTTCATATACTTTCTTCGCAAACTCGGCCTTGATCATCTCTCCCTCTTTTGATCAAGGTTGAAAACGGTTGGAATGAGGTTGATCAATGTTGAAATAAGGTAGCTCGACGTTGAAATGAGGTTGATCAAGGTTGAAAGGAGGTTGATCATCGTTGAAATGAGGTTCATCTATGTTGAAAATGACATTATCCATACTCAACATGTGAGTGAGTGTAGGCTGGCTCTCTAACAGTGCTTTTAGGCGTATGGGCCTTGATAAATGCCGAAAATTATGTCAATCAACTTTGAAAATAGTTGAAATGAGATTGATCAATGTTGAGGTTTATTTTTTACTGTTGAGGCACCAAAACACAACTCATCTAAAAAGAACCAATACATTATCAACATTGCCAAATCTAGAGCAAAGGTCCCCCCAAGCACTGCCCGATTGAAATAATTAAAAAAATGACACTGTAAATGTGAATTTTAAACGTTATATACATATACTTAATGCATATATAATGTGTGTCACACCTTTGCAATTGTAAATATTAGTAGTGACTTCATGATTGTTTCCAGTGTCAATTTCATCAAAATAAAGTACAATGTACAAAGTTTTTTTTGTTTCTTCTGGTTTTTTTTAACAATTTTACTCATAAATGCAAGTATTTGCCACATACATGTAGGTGATTTTAGGGTTATTTGCGACACCGGCATTTACCGGCCAGACAATATATACTTGTCCAAACCCTGATTCTTAAGTACATTTTCTTTATTTGTGTCGCTGGTCACGATCACTTTCTTGTAGTTGGGCTTGGTCACTATCACTTTCTTGTAGATGTGCTTCGACATCTCCGTTCAAATGGCTGTTTGTTTCAATTTGCTTCACTACTCTCTTCTGGCTTTCTCTTGATAATTTGTCACCCCCGGTCCTGTATGGTGCAAATTTTAAAATTGCCTGCACGTTGTCCTCTAACTTTGACAAGGTTATTTTTTCTCGTCAATGCTCTTATACGACATCTGAAATAGTAAGTCAGTTCATATTAAAGCTCAGGCAATGTTCTCGAAACACAACTGACACGTGATAACATCTTGAACAATAATAAATTATACTGATCGAATTGTTTGCATATACATTTTATGAATTTCAAAGAAAAACATTGATTGGTCAAACTATCTTCCTCATTGGTAAGTTAAGGCTCTACTTTAATACGTTTGATAGAAATGGAACACCATGAACAATATCTCATGACAAGGTTGCAAGATACAATAATCAGCTGTGGAAGCAAAGGACGCCATCTTATTTATGGTGGCTTATGTTGCAAAGTAAATTTTAACGAAATCTGCTAAAAAAATAATTACTTTCCCTTGGCTGCAAGTCTGTCAACACATTTCATTTGCCAGATCGAGAATCTTGCAAAATTTTGAATTATAGAAGAATATAGTGTAAATTCTGAAGATCAACGAACATGTCTATAATTTGTTAAGTTTCAACTCACCTTTCAGAGTGCTATATATATATGTACTTCAAAGGGGAACTTTTTGTTTTTCCCGTCCTGTTCATCAGGGACTGCAGACCGTTTGTCATGGTTCTTAAAACAGAAAGAAAAATCTATACATTACCCTTAATCCTGTATCAAACATCCCCAGGGGGGGGGTTACAATTTGAAAAACATGGACTCTTATTTCTGATGAAAAATGAGGACAGTTTTTACGTATCCATTACAGATTGCTTCTTAGCATTTAATAATGTAGTTTAATGTACATTGTATTTTCATTAGGTTTTCAATACTCACTTCTCCATTATCCTCTTAATGTGCTCGGCAGCAGAGTTCCCTCCTATTCTGTTGAATGTGAATGTCTGTATACAGAAACAAAGTTAAATTATTGTTGTATTATTTGGATTTATATACAGTTGAGTAACAGTGCAATATGTTATTAACAGAGCTGGATAGTATAACAATTTAGACCAAGTCAAAAAGGGAGATAATTTTTGATGGTATGAAACTGTACATTGACACAGAAGACAAATCAAGACATGTTTGAAGTTCAAAGCAATATCTACAGTTGAATAACAGATGTATAGAATTTAAACAAGAGCTGTCAGACGACAGCGCTATGACTATTCGAAGTTCTGGATAGTGCAGGATTGCATAAGGCAATATAATAAATTATTAGTCAAGCTAAAAAAGTAAAAATTATCCTTAACAATAATCATTACGATGATGACGCCACGGTGAGTGTAATATATCTCCTTGTTCTTCGAATATAATCTAGCTAAAATCAAAAGAAAAGTTTTGTTTCATACCAGTTTTTCAAGGTTGTCCCTCTCCTCGAGAAACTGTTCAAACTCTTTCAGCTCATCAAGAGTTGACAGTTGCTTAATCTGTAATCCCCTGCACTGTTCCACTGACACGTTTCCTGCACTTTTTACTGAGTCACGTATCTCCGTTAAGAGAGACAGAACTTTCCTCTGAAAACCTGAAAATATCATTGATGCAATTCCATGAAGATCCACTGCTGCCTGTGTGGACATTTTGATATTAATTGGCTGTCCAGTTGCTCCTTATTTTATTATGTAAGGATGAAGAATTCTCACAATAGTCATTCCATGTCGTCTGCACTATGACTCTTAGAATGTTCTAGATGAAAAGGGACCATAAATTTAATACAAATCTGACTTCGGAAACTTTAAAAATCCTCACAGGTCCTGTTCATTAAAATTATTCCATGGGTGTTAAAAATTTGAAATATACTACATACACTTTTCGAAGTACTGCTGGTCGTACATGAATTTTAACTTTTCATTATTGGTGAACAAATGGATTTTTCGATCATGGGATGCCTGCAATTACATGGGCCTTGTTGATAATGCAAGTGCGACATCACTCCTTACTTTATAATTATGTTCTTTGAATAGAGGTGTTAAAAATTATAAAGACAAGAAAATGCACTCTACACAGTGCTTTAATACTATGCAACTTACGTCCTTCATCAATGGGAAACAGATCTTTTTTCTTTGATGGGCTTCTTTTCCTGGACCGGCTCCTTTCTCTTTTTTCGAATGACGCGCTTTTTTGTGTCTTGTCCTTATCTCTTCATCATCGTAGCTACTTGGAGAATCCGACTCAGAAATGATTTGTTTGCGTTTGTCTGAAAAACTTTATGCTCACCATAACAAAAAACACTCCAAATTTTAGACGGCAAGAGCAGCTAATATCAATCATAAATGTCATTGAGAAATATCCATCAATAATTAACCCTACAATCTCTTTGCTCTAAATCTTCAAAAGCAATTGTATATCAAAAAAGATGTATATATATCTTACCTTGTTTCTAAATTATTACAAATTTATATTATGATGATGCCATTACAGTAAGTTTCATGTTGATGAAAATTTCCAATGAACACAGTTTTAGACAAATGAATTTATTCTGCATTACGTAAAATGCATACATCATTACATGCAAACTTATTGTATCCCCAAGCTAGAATAAATTACCAATCACCTCGAGATCTCCGCTCCTGTATTAGTTGCCAAGCCGTCTTGTTTATTCCCGTCTTTGCTTGTCCACGATTCACTACCCTGCCATTTGGGTTCTTTTTCCTGGCACTTCGGTTATCTAGCCTGGCACTTTGGTTTTCCTTCCTTTCACTTTCGTCCTCTTTCCTTTCACTTTTGTCCTGCTTGTCGTTATGTATCTTAATGGGAGAAGGCAGTTTCCTTTTCTCCGTGGGCTTTTTAACCTGGCTCCCATCTATAAATAAGTAGAGATATTTAAGCACATTAATTGATTAGCACAACTATGTCCAGCAGTGATATGAAAGGTAGATACGCTTGAGCTACACATGTTTTATCAATTTCCTATTCAACCTCCTCGCAGGCTCTCAGAAATAATTATTTATACCAGACATGTGATGATTTGCAATGATAAGGAATGAATTTAAAAAACATTGGTGATTGGTTGATATAGAATTATTTAATTCATAACACTTGCCCCTCTACTGATGTTGGTTTGAAGTCAGAACCCCGTTCAGGGCGAATCTTTCATGTGGGAAAGCCATTCAGTTGGCTTGCGGAACAAGACTAACAATAACACTCATTGGAGAGTGACGCTCATCTGATTTATGCATTTTCTAATATTTTGACCACCAACGTCAAGTGAATGTCAAGGTCAAAAACAGTACACATGCATGTGAAGGTCTTGTTCCAAGGGTCATTGTGTCCAAATATGAGTGAAATCCACCAAGCGATGAAGAAGTTATGGCTTATGTTAAAGTTTTGTACGGACAACGATATAACTACGACAATAGCTCAATTTTGTCAGCGAACAGCCTCGCTAAACTTATCTTATTATAAATAGTAGTGGGTATGACAAATAGCACTTGTTGGCCACATGCTACAAGAGCTATTTATACTGAATACTGCTTATTAACAGATTTTTTTTATTTTAGATGTCTTTAGATTTTCACATCGTAATTGACAGTCAACTAATTAATGAGTCATGCCAATACCAAACTCATCAAGCCAGAATATTTAAATGATTATTCAATAATTCAATCTGACAAGCATTCTTTCTTACCCGGCTCTTTAGACTTGTTTTCCTCTTGTTCATCACCTGATTGGATGGGAAGTTCCGGTGGCAAGTTATAGTCCTCTTCTTCATTTGGAACTTTTCGTCTCCTTATACCATCTATGTCTGAGATGAGAATATAAATATTTGTGTAAATTACAATTCAAATGAGTATCAAGTATTATTTTTATGCCACCGCAGCATCTGCGATGCGGTGGCATATAGCGATTCACCTGTGTGTATGTGTGTGTTTGTGTGTTATATAGATTATATAGTGAACTTAAAAAATCTTCTTGTGGAAAACCACTAGTCCAATTTCAACCAAACTTGGCAGGATTGATCCTTTGGTGAAGGGCTTCCAAAGTTGTTCAAATAATTTCATTCCATGCAGAAATCTGGTTGCCATGGCAACCAAAAGGAATTATAAGAATGAATTTAAAAAATCTTCTTGTAGAAACCCAAAAGACCTAGAGCTTAGATATTTTGCATAGGGCATTGTCTGGTAGACCTCTACCAAGATTATTCAAATTATAGCCCTGGGGTCAAAATTGGCCCCGCCCCGGGGGTCATTGATTTTCACTATATGTACATATAGTTAAAACTTAAAATACCCTCTTGTAAAGACCCAAAAGGCCTAGAGCTTAGATATTTTGCATAAGGCATTGTCTGGTAGACCATTTCCAAGATTGTTCAAATTATAGCCCTGGGGTCAAAATCGGCCCCGCCCCGGGGTTATTGATTTTCCTTATATGTATATAGTAAACACTTATAGTAAAAACTTTAAAAAAAATTCTTCTAGCAATCGACAAATGCTAGAGGTTAGATATGCTAGAGGCTAGATATTTTGCATGAAACATTATGTAGTGAACCTCTAGCAAAATTGTTCAAATTATAGCCCTGAGGTCAAAATTGCCCCCGCCCCGGGAGTCATTGATTTTTAATATATACATATAGTAAAAAAATCTTATTGTCATAAGGTACAAGGCTTAGAGCTTTAATATTTGTTAAATGATATCATCTATAGGTACTCTACCAAAGTTGTTCAAATTTTGCCTCTAGTGTCAAAATTAGCCCGCCCCGGGGGCTATGGGTTTTCCTTATATATTTAAAACTTAAATAATCATCTTCTCTAAATTCACAAAGGCTAGAGTCAAGATATTTTGCATGAAACATTGTGAAGTGAACCTCTACCAAGATAAGTGTAAATATGAGTGAAATCCACCAAGCGATGAAGAAGTTATGGCTTATGTTAAAGTTTTTTACGGACAACGATATAACTACGACAATAGCTCAATTTTGTCAGCGAACAGCCTCGCTAAACTTATCTAATCTTATTATAAATATAAGTGGGTATGACAAATAACACTTGTTGGCCACATGCTACAAGAGCTATTGTATCATAGTTTGGGGACCTTTCTGTTGAAAAAGTGTCATAGTTAAATCGTATACATATACATGCACAGTGCGGTAACTGGAGTGCAGGTATCAGTTACCCGCACTCCAGATCATGCCCGTTGATTGGCTCATTTTTGCTGGGGTTTACATATTGTGACGGCAGAGAAAGGGAAAGCGGCAGAAATATCATATTCAGATGCTCGATCATTGGTTACTTTTTCCCGGGGTTTAAAATTGTGACAACAGGGAACGTGTTTTTATGTTTGACTATGATACAAAAGAGAAAGAACACCAAAACACTCGGCAATCTGATTTATACTCGGGGGCTACGCCCCCTCGTACAATTCAGATAGCCTCGTGTTTCGGTGCTCTTTCTATTACTTTATACTGAATACTGCTTATTAACAGATTTCTTTTTATTTTTAGATGTCTTTAGATTTTCACATCGTAATTGACAGTCAACTAATTAATGAGTCATGCCAATACCAAACTCATCAAGCCAGAATATTTAAATGATTATTCAATAATTCAATCTGACAAGCATTCTTTCTTACCCGGCTCTTTAGACTTGTTTTCCTCTTGTTCATCACCTGATTGGATGGGAAGTTCTGGTGGCAAGGTATAGTCCTCTTCTTCATTTGGAACTTTTCGTCTCCTTATACCATCTATGTCTGAGATGAGAATATAAATATTTGTGTAAATTACAATTCAAATGAGTATCAAGTATTATTTTTATGCCACCGCAGCATCTGCGATGCGGTGGCATATAGCGATTCACCTGTGTGTATGTGTGTGTTTATGTGTTATATAGATTATAATTATAGTGAACTTAAAAAATCTTCTTGTGGAAAACCACTAGTCCAATTTCAACCAAACTTGGCAGGATTGATCCTTTGGTGAAGGGCTTCCAAAGTTGTTCAAAGAATTTCATTCCATGCAGAAATCTGGTTGCCATGGCAACCAAAACGAATTATAAGAATGAATTTAAAAAAACTTCTTGTAGAAACCCAAAAGACCTAGAGCTTAGATATTTTGCATAGGGCATTGTCTGGTAGACCTCTACCAAGATTATTCAAATTATAGCCCTGGGGTCAAAATTGGCCCCGCCCCGGGGGTCATTGATTTTCACTATATGTACATATAGTTAAAACTTAAAATACCCTCTTGTAAAGACCCAAAAGGCCTAGAGCTTAGATATTTTGCATAAGGCATTGTCTGGTAGACCATTTCCAAGATTGTTCAAATTATAGCCCTGGGGTCAAAATCGGCCCCGCCCCGGGGTTATTGATTTTCCTTATATGTATATAGTAAAAACTTATAGTAAAAACTTAAAAAAAATTCTTCTAGCAATCGACAAATGCTAGAGGTTAGATATGCTAGAGGCTAGATATTTTGCATGAAACATTATGTAGTGAACCTCTAGCAAGATTGTTCAAATTATAGCCCTGAGGTCAAAATTGCCCCCGCCCCGGGAGTCATTGATTTTTATATGCCCGAACGAATTTCGGACATATTATGTTATACCCCCTGGCGTCCGTCCGTCCGTCCGTTAGCAATTTGGTTTCCGGAGCATAACTTAAGTTCCATTTGGCCCACAATACTCAAACTTCATGGGATGATTATCCATATTGGGTAGAAGACCCCTATTGATTTTGGGGTCATAAGGTCAAAGGTTAAGGTCACTATGACCTTAAAACTGAAAACAGTTTCCGGAGCATAACTTAAGTTCCATTTGGCCTACAGTGTTCAAACTTCATAGGATGATTGTCCATATTGGGTAGAAGACCCCAAAATCAAAGGTCAAGGTCACTATGACCTTAAAACTGAAAACAGTTTCCGGAGCATAACTTAAGTTCCATTTGGCCCACAGTGTTCAAACTTCATAGGATGATTGTCCATATTGGGTAGAAGGCCCCTATTGATTTTGGGGTCACAAGGTCAAAGGTCAAGGTCACTATGACCTTAAAACTGAAAATAGTTTCCGGAGCATAACTTAAGTTCCATTTGGCCTACAGTGTTCAAACTTCATAGGATGATTGTCCATATTGGGTAGAAGACCCCTATTGATTTTGGGGTCACAAGGTCAAAGGTCAAGGTCACTATTACCTTAGAACTAAAAACAGTTTCTTGAGCATAACTTAAGTTCTATTTGGCCCACAGTGTTCAAACTTCATAGGATGATTGTCCATATTGGGTAGAAGACCCCTATTGATTTTGGGGTCACAAGGTCAAGGTCACTATTACCTTAAAACTGAAAACAGTTTTCGGAATATAACTTAAGTATCATTTGGCCTACTGTGTTTAAACTTCATAGTATGATTGTCCATATTGGGTAGAAGACCCCTAATGATTTTGGGGTCACAAGGTCAAAGGTCAAGGTCACTTTTACCTTAGAATTGAAAACAGTTTCTGGGGCATAACTTAAAGTTCCATTTGGACCACAATATTGAAACTTCAAAGGAGGATTGTTATTTGAAGGAGGTAATACTTTATTTTACTCCCATGTCTTACAAATGCTTCATCTTTACTAAAAAAAAATCACTTTCGGGCATATAATGCTCCGCCTAGCGGTGCTCTTGTTAATATTTACATATAGTAAAAAAAATCTTATTGTCATAAGGTACAAGGCTTAGAGCTTTAATATTTGTTAAATGATATCATCTATAGGTAATCTACCAAAGTTGTTCAAATTTTGCCTCTAGTGTCAAAATTAGCCCGCCCCGGGGGCTATGGGTTTTCCTTATATATTTAAAACTTAAATAATCATCT